TTTTTTTTTTTTTTTACAGGCGTATTGGTAACAACTCCCACGAAGGGTAAAGTGCACAGCAGAACAACTAACAGTTCAAACGCTGAGAGGGGGGGAAACACCATTAAATATAGAGACAACAACGTGCTTCTAATGTTTTATATATCATTAGCTTTCAGTACTTTACCTTGCAAACTCTCGTCAGATGACGCGTCCTTTTGAAGCGACATTTGCGCTGTGCCGTGTGACGAACTTTAATCGGAAACACAGCTTTAAAGGCCTGAACTGTAGGTGAAATGGTGGCGAAATGTCCCCAACCAGCTGGAGTCTCAACTAGCACAATAACAGTGACGCAATATTTTGTTTATCCGAACAGGGATTGGCTCCAAAAAGGAGGGCACGTATAAAACGCACACCAAGTTCCAGTATGACATCTGAGTCAGTGCGCATGCGCAGGGTCACATCTACGCCTTCTGAATACCCTTTCAGTTAAGTTTAAAGCATCACGGATGCATATTAAGATCTGGTAAATTATCACTGTAGCAATATAGAAAAAAAAAAAAAAAACTTCGCTCATGTCAGGTTTATTTGTGCAGGTTTGTTGAAATATTGCAGTTCCACTCAGTCGTCTGAAGATGGCAGCAATGACTCATCACTGTCATGTTCTTCAGAGTTGTAGCTGCGCTAGCACTTTCCAAACTGTCACAACTTATTTTTTGAGGTCGAGTTTTGATAAACACTTGAGCGGGAGGGATAAAGAGGGGGTTAAAAATTCAACAATTGTTTTAGCAAAGTTAGTTGTTAATTAAATATTAATTATTAGAGGTTATATTCTTCAATGTGTTCGTTATTGTCTTAACTTTTGGGTGGAGAGGTGGGGAGGGGGGTGTAAATAAGACTGGAAAAAACTAAGTTTTAGATGCAAAGCTGCAAGAAGAACCCCCCAAAAAACTGCAAAAGCAGCTGCCATTTGTCAAAGGCAGTTTTACGCAGCGCTGACTCAGAATACTAATGCACATTAACTTGCATCACTTTCTTAAGGCTTTAAAATTATTTGCTACTTTGTGTTGTTCGAACACATGGTTTCTCAATGTAATGCTTTGACGTTTGCTGTAACGTGGCAACATATGGGGAAAGAAGGGGTATGAATACTTTTGCCAAGCAATTTACAAATCAGTTAAGTTTCGATGTAACTGCGACAGACCTATTAATCGAAGTGAATTAAAGTTTTCAGACACACAATGAGAAACATTACCTGTCATACCTTTGTTGAAGAACTGCCCAAGTGTATGCTCCAATGTGAAAAGGTAAAGTACGGATTCATTGTTCATTAGTTCTTCATCAGGCAAGCCCAATTTTGAATCTGGCAAATGTAATTATTTTAGCTCCCATGGAGATAAGCGTGACTGATTATCCTGAAAAAAATGTAATTATTTCTACAATAGAGAGAGCTTCTTATTATTCTGAGATGTGGGTTCCTTTTCCATACAGGAATAGGCTACATTTATTTAGGCAGAGGGAACTGTTAAGACTATTTTAAATTAACTGTGTAAGTGCAGCAAAAATAAAAGGTTGCGATCAACATCATACAGAACATTTTGTCTTTTGCGAGCTATTTTGAGCAATATAAGTATTGATATTATTATTATTTAATAAGACGATTACCGAAAATGGAAGAAGCCATTCTTCTTGTGGCTGAATTTGAATGAACAAATAAAATGAGGAATAAATGGTAGAAATAAAGGAAAACCGCTTTTTTTTTTATCAGTACGTCTCAGAATGTGACAATTAAAAAATATGTAATGTATTTATCTTTCCTTTGGGTGTTTTTCAGCAGAACCTCAGTTTATGGCAAGCCATTTTTAACATTTAATTACCAAAGTACCTGAAAGATTTAGACAGCTGTGTAATTCAAAGTCTGTTAAATACCAATTATTTGAGATATGGTCACTTTACCCCAAACTTTACCTACCATAATAACCTGAAATAATTTCATTGCCTTTTTTACAGCTTCAAGAGAAATATACTGAATGATTAATCCAAAGAAACAACAAAGAAAATCATAGAAAGATACAGTATGTAGCCTTATAATCATTCAAATTAATAATTAAAATAGTATCTTATTAAAAAGTCTGAACCTTGTTTAGAAATGTCTCTCTCAGTCTTTGCAATGTTTTTATTTTATGGGCTAACAGAACATTGAATATTAATGCCGACTGATTTGCATGTTGCAGTTATTATGACACATCTTTACATCACTTAATAAAATGTCATTAGGTATGACTCAATACCAGCTTGGTAGGTTCACTTTGTTCTCTGGAAGTCTCTTAAGATGAAATAAAGTAAAGTTGACACCTTTACCGAAGCTGTCAGAGCTTGTTTAAACGTCTCTGTATTCAGCTAACTCTTTGTGTGTCTGGGTGTGCTGTAGATGACAGCTCATCAATAGATT